GCTTATGATTAAGTGTGTGTGTGTGTGTGTATGTGTGTGTGTGTATGATTGTGTGTGATCGCTTATGATTGAGTGTGTGTTTGTGTGTGTGTGTGTGTGTGCGCGTGCGCGTGCGTGCGTGTGTGCGAGCGTGTGTGTGTGTGTGTGTGTGTGTGTGTGTGTGTGTGCGTGTGTGTGTGTGTGTGTGTGTATGTAAAAAGCGGGAGCATCGTCCTTTGTAAGGAGTTATAATAAACACGAGAAGACCATGTCAAATTCCACAATGAAAGACAAGTCATACTGTTGAATGAGATAATCAGGTTTTCAATTTCTGAAGGAAAAAGATGCAATCTGATTTAGTTTGAACAAGATAGCTTCATTTCATAAATACTATTCATTTAAACAAAAGGGGTAAAAATAAAACAAGTTCCTTCTCTCTGTTTTCTGGAGAAAAAAAATCAACGAGAGTCACAATTTTGCAGCTTTTTTCCACCAATGTTCATAACATAATTTTGTAATATGATCCCTTCATTTAATGAACCTGACTTTCACAGCGTTTTTGCCCCCCAGGCCTTAAAGAAAAAACAACAACCCAAAAACAGATAACCCCCCCCCCCCCAAAAAAAAGAAACCAACCCAACCTCACAACAAAACAACAGAACCCCCCCCCCCCCTCAAAACACAACAACAGCAATAATTGCAAGCTTTATTTCTTGTTAAATCAAAGAATTTTCTTCAGAATAGGAGAGTGAAAGTCATTAGTTGAAGAAGAGATTAAAGAAAAAAAATGAGAAAGAGATTACGGCAAACACAAAAAATGCAATACTATCTCATTTTTGAGAATGCAATTGCAAGTCGGAAAGAGGAAAGAAATTATGACTTTACATCTATACACTTTTTTATTTCCTCTACCAATACAAACCGAATTGGAGAAAGAAAGGCACCGTTTGTAGTTCACAAATTGAATATTTTTTTTTCTTTGAGAGGCGAGAAGTTGACTGCATGTAACAACAACAGCAGCAACAACAACAACAACAACAACTAATAACAATGATAATAATAATAATAATAATAATAATAATAATAATAATAATAATAATAATAATAGCAACAAGCGCAACAACAATACTAATACATTTTTTTAAAATGATGATGATGATGCT